TTAATGTGAGATCTTGGGGATGAACAAGAAAGGAAGGGCTGTGGCTTAATAGTGCTGTGTTTGTGTGTCAGGTTGACAAGGGTCGGTTGTACTGCCTGGTTGTGTTTTAACTAATACAAGCTAGGGTCATCAGAGAGGAAGGAGCCTCAGTTAAGAAAATGCCTCCATGAGATCCAGCTGTAAGGCATTTTCCCAATTAGTGATCAGCAGGGGAGGGTCCAGCTCATGACGGGTGGTCCCATTCCCTGGGCTGGTGGTCCTGGGTTCTAGAAGGAAGCAGGCTGAACAAGCCATGAGGAGCAAGCCAAGAAGCAGCAGCTCTCCATGACCTCTGCATGAGCTCCTGTCTCCAGGTTCCTGCCCTGCTTGAGTTCCTGTCCTGGCTTCCTTCGGTGATGGACTTCAGTGTAAAAGTATAAGCTGAATAAACCCTTTCCTCCCTAACTTGCTTTTAGGTCATGGCGTTTCATTGCAGCAACAGAAACCCTGACTAACACAGGACAATTCATTGCCCTCCTATTTTCCAACTAGAATTTAAGACACACATTGAACACACTTTACTGCAAGTTGTATCTGATTCTCCCCCCATCCCCGACTTCAGCCTCTGTTAGCTTTCATTCTGTTACTGTGACAGACACCATGACCAAAACACACTTGGGGAAAGAATGGGTTTATGTCATCTTACAGGTTATAGACTGGTGGTTTGAATATGAATGGCCCCATAGGCTCATACATTTCAACGCTTGGTTACCAGGGAGGTCTGTTAGTCAGAGTTCTCTCAAATTAACAGAATTTACAGAATGAATCACTATATATATCCAACAATGGCTGCCTGTGAACGGAAGGTCCAAGAATCCAGTAGTTGCTCATTCCACAAGACTGGCTGTCTCAGCTGGCCTTCAGTATACACTGGAATCCCATCTTTAGCATACAATGGGGTCCCAGAGAAGTAAGGTCTGACTCAGTGGTTCTCAGTCTGTGGGTCATGACCCTTTGGTTGATCAAATGGCCCTTTCACAGGGTCCCCTAGGACAGCTGGAAAACAGATACTTGCATTACAATTCATAACAAAAGCAAAATTACAGTTATGAAGGAGCAACAAAAAGAATTTTATGGCTGGGGGTCACCACAACCTGAGGAACTCTATCAGGAAGGCTGAGAACCACTGCTGTGATGCCAGTGAAGGAATGAACTTTCTATCAAGATGAGAGCAAGCAGGCAAAGAGCGAGAGCTTCTTTTTCCACGTCCTGGTATAGGCTTCCAGGAGTTATAGGCCCAGGTTAAAGGTGTGCCTTCCTACCTCAAGATCTGGATTCAGTGATCCAGACTAAAAGTGGATTTTCCTTCAATTAAACAACAACAAATTCCTCATAGGTATGCCTTCTGTTTTTGAGTTTTAGTTCCAGATGCGGTTACCGAGAATTGACATCACTGAGGGAACTAAGAACCATGGGAAATGCTGCTTGCTGTTTTCCCCTCTCTCACAGGCTCATGCTTAGCTCATGTCCAGGGAATAGTGCCACCCACAGTGGGCTGGGCACTCCAGACAACCCACCAGACATGTGCGTACTCCTCAGGACGCTCTTGGCTGTGCCAAGCTGACAGAGCTGAGAGAATAGCCTTCTGGTCTTGTCTTCTCTGACCATGCTTAGGAACGCTGGGCCACTTTGAAGAGGAAGAAGCAAGGAGGTTTCCAGCAGGGCAAGCAGTTGGGATTTGGCAGGCAGCTGAAAGAGGTGGGGTTGCATCACAGCTTGGTGACCTGGAAGTGTCAGGACAGAGAGGGAGGGGAGGGATGGAGGGAGCAAAGAAACTTGTTGAGTGGGACACGGGCTCCCAGGAGTGGGGGCCTTTGGTTTCCTGTTCTTAGGTTAGGATACTTACAGCAAATTGGCTCTGTTGGTTGCAGCAAACAGAGGGGTGGAATTGTAATTTCTGTGTTTACTCTTGAATTTTGACAGTAGTGAAACTCTGTGTGTATTGATTGTGTGGTGGGTGCAATGTGGAAGTCAGAGGTCAACAATGGGTACCTTCCCATCTTTTTACAGTTTTTACAGGCACGTGCCTCTAAGCCTGGCTTCTCTCCAAACTTTTTTTTTAAGCCTTATTGAATTATTATTGTTGGGGGTGGAGCGTGTGCCACCCTGGGCATGTGTGGAAGTCTGGGAATCACTCTGCGGAGTCGGCGGTTCCCGTCCACCTTGACAAGGGCTCCAGGCTGCCAGGCATGCAAAGCCATCTCTCTGGGCTTTCCCACTTTTAAAAAATGGTTTCTACTTTTCCTGCATTGGTCAGCACAGTTCTAGCATTTCTTTTTGTGATATAGACGTGTCACCTTTTTGTGGCTTTTCCATTTCAAAGAAATCCTGTCTTTTCCTCTGGACTCCAAGAGAAATTAGTAGCTGACTGCTCAGTTTGCACCCCAAGCCAGTCCCTGGGTTTCATTGCCAATGGGCATCTTGTCTCTGAGTTTGGTGTTCACTCAAACCTCTGCTATGGGGGAGGGGGTTGGGCTGGGGGAGGGGTAGCACTGTGCACGGACTTGTCTCCTGTGGGGGGATGGGGGGACTCCCACACATGGAGAAGAGGGTAGAAGAGCCTGGGAGTTTTTTCTGCTTGGGAAAATCTCTTTGGTGGCTGACACTGGGGATCATTAACCTGTCAGAGTTCTATCTCTTCTGCACCTGGGTAGCTGTCTGAATTCCTCTGTCTACTCAGTCAAAACGACTTTTCTGAGACTCTGTGGGGTCTGGGCAGCCTAGGAGACCCAGTCTCCACACCTTGGAGAACCGTGGGCTCAAGATCTTCAAGTTGCCCACATAGGCCGGCTCTGCTCCCAGACTTGCTTTTAGGCTGTGAGGAAAGGGGGAGGCACCAAGGGTCAGAGCCCTGGGGCATCAGGCTGGTCATCCCCAGTGGCCCAGGTTCCATGGATCCAGACGCTGGCTTGTGAACAGCACAGCTTGGTGCCTGAGGCCTTGGGGCAGTGTGTGCCTTCTCTGTTTATGTTAATAGCACCGGGGGAGATGTCTTGTTTTGTTATTTTGAGACAGGGTCTTACTCTACAGCCCTGGCTGTCCTGGAACTCTCTGTAGACCAGGCTGGATCTTATAAAGATCTGCCTGCCTCTGCCTCCCATCCTGAGTGCTGGGATTAAAAGCCACTCCTAGCTTTTGATGTCTTTTTCAAAGACTAGACATGGTACTGAAGGTATATGGGACATCTTGACATAGTACTGGGAATGAACTGCATCCTGACCTGCCTAACTCTCGTCTCTGGGGCTCTAGTACCAAGGCCCCAGGCAGGGCTGCTGGGGGCCGTGGGAAGCCCCTGACCTGGGCTTTGTGAGTCTTGGCTGGGGACCTCCCACATCCTGGCCATCTCAGCAGCCCAGTCCTCCCATGCTGGGCTCAGGGATTCCTGGGAACTTCTGGCCCAGAGGACCAGAGGACTGGCCTTATCTGGGGCAGTTGTGGGCCTGGAGCTCCTTCCCCCTCTGAGCTCCACTTTTCACAAAGGCTTAAGTCTAAGAACCTTGTAAGAGGACAAGGCAAAGCAAGAGCTTCATGGGTCCAGCACAAACCAGACCAGTTCCATGCTAGTTCTGCCGTCAGAACCTGTGTGAACTGGGCCTGTATTCCAGCTGCTGAGAACGGATTTCAGGGTCAGCCCTGGCAACTTAGTGAGATGCTCTCAAAACTTGGGAGGCAGCGGCAGGCAGATCTCTGTGAGTTGGAGGCTAGCCTGGTCTACATAGCGAGTTCAGGCCAGCCAGGCCTACACAGTAAGAGAACTTGTTTAAAAAAAAAAAAAAAGGTGTTTATTAAAAAGGGCTGGGAATACAGCTCAGTGATAGAGCTTACTCAGCACAGTCAAGGCTGTGAGGATTGTGGATGTGAGAGTGCCTCCCTCATTCACTGCCCCAGCGACAATGATCACCACCCGCTCCACAGGTTGGAACCTATGCTATGCCCTAGCACAGCATAGGAACTTGGATGTGTGTGCGTGTGAAAGTCTTAGATAAATCACTTGGACAGATCACCTGCGAGGGAACGACCAGCATTCAGGATCTGAGCCCAGAGTCAAGACTCAGGAACTACTTGGGGACAGCAGCTCCAGGTCTGACAGGGGCCTGAAGGTTCTGCCCTTCCTGGTGATGCCCAGGGAAGAGGGGGCAGTATCCTGGTTTGCTGCTTTGTTTTTCAACTTGAGGCAACTCAGAGTTACCTGGGAAGAGAGACCTCCCCGGAGGGGCCACGACCCACATTCTGCCTGTAGGCCAGTTTGGGGGGGTGTTTTCTTGATTAATGATTGGCGTGTCATGTCCCAGCTCACTAGGGACAGCGACACCCTTGGGCAGGTGGTTGCAGTGGTCCTCAGAAAGCAGGCTGGGCAAGTCGTGGGGAGCAAGCCAGTAGGTAGCATTTCCCTTGCCCCAGTTTCCCTTAGTGGACTATGACCAGGGATGTGTAGCCAAACAAACCCTCGCCTCCCCACGCTGCTTTTTCTCATGCTCCTTTTATCACAGCAATAGAAAGCAACTTGAGACAGAAAGAGGCTGGAGAGACTAGCTCTCACTTTATAAATAGTGCCTTTAGTCCACTGACTTCAAGAGATCAAGGCCGGGGCTATATATGCTTGCCATCCTGAAACACTCTGGGGCTCCAGGATGGGGAGAACCCTGAGGACTCCCCGCGTTCGCCCCGGCCTCCTGCAAGAGCAACCGAGTTGTCTCCACCCCCTAGAACCCCGCTGCTATTCCTCCTGCCTGCTGGGATAGACCTGGCTGTTAACACTAGCGGATTGTGCTGTGGTGCAGCGGGCTCTGGCCCCGCCCCATCCCAGGGATGCTCCGCCTCTGGCCGCGCCCCGCCTCGCCCCACCCCGCCGCCCTCTCCAAGCCCGTTGTTCAGCCCCGCCCCAGCCGCGCCCCTCCGCCGATGCTTGCTCGCTCGCTCACTCACCACCTCCTCCTCCATCACGGGGCCCCGTCCTCAGGCCCTGTGGGTTGCACACGGCTGCCTGGAGGCTGGAGTCCTCCGGTCACTCCGGGACCCTCCCACCGTGTCCCCTGGGCAACTGTCTCCAGGGAGACGGAGCCCGCCCCTGCCACCGACACCTGGTACGAAACCCACCTGTGCGGGAGTCTGTGGGGTCCCTGTGTCTCCCCCGGACTGGCCAGATGCTCTGCCCCACCTAGCACTGGGCTTTGTTGGCCTGGGTTTGGGTGGACAGGGTGGGAGGTCATCAGGGGTCCAGGGTGGAAGGGCTTAGGAGAGGCTGGAGCATCCAGAGGCGACAGTACCCCACTGGAGAGGCCGACCCACACCTAGGGTCGAGCCTGCCTGGGATTCCCTAGTGTGTGTGTGGGGCGGGAGGGGGGCGAGTGCTGAGTTGCATCTTTTTGTGTGACTCTCTAAAGATGAAATTCTGGGTGTGTCTCCCGCCGCCCTTGATGGGATGAGCCGGACCCTCAGTGGGGGTCCCGAAGAGGACGCGCTGTTTACTTCTCTGGAACCGAAGCAGTTCTGTGCGCGCTCCCCCTCCTCCCCCACCCGCCTCCCCCGTCCCCAATTCCCTACCCAGCAGTCGGCAAAGCTTCATCCCTCCCTAGCTTTGCCCTTGAATCAAGAGGGGCTAACAGAAGTCATACCCAGGCCCGGAGGTCCAGTCCCTCTTCCACCATGGGACTTACTCCTTCCTGATGAATCTCTGGTGCATTTTTTCCTGGCTCCTTATCTCCCGTCCTGAATTCCTGAGGATTCAGTCTTCTGGGCTCCATCATGCTTTCTGCTTTGTCTTTCCCGTTTTGTTTGGTTTTGGTTTTAGGTTTTTCTTTCTTTCTTTTGATGCTTTCTTTTGGCCCTTCTGGTTTCCCCTGGATCTGTCCTGCTATTGTTGGTCTTGCTCTCTTAGTATTGTCTTTTTCACTGCTCAGCATGTAAGTTGTTTCTTCTTTTAGTCTTTGGCCCAAGCCTCGGGTGACTCTGCTGATAGTTTCCTGGAAAGCCCTAGTGGTCCTCCCTGGATGCTAAGCCGAAGGCTATATCCACACCCAGCTGCCCAGGCGCCTGCAGCGTTGCTGAGCGTCCTTTCAGGGCCTGGGCTGGCAGGTTGGCCGACTTGAGCTTGGACCCTGATGAATGTGTGCCTGTACACCCTATTTCCAGGGGACTCCTAAGGGCTTTGCTTTTGTCTTATACAAAGCAAGTAATGAGTGCATTGTTTCCTGCCCTTTCACTGGCCCTTCCTTCCTGCTCTACCTAATAGAATCCAGGCTCGAGTTGCCCCACCGTAGAGGTGCCCAGGACCCGGCTCTCATTTCTCTCACAGGGAGCAGGTTGTTTCTAGGTGTGCCCAAGGTGGGGAGGAAACACCCCTCTTCTCACAGCTGTCCTTTTTCCTCTCTAGCCCAACAAGGACGAATTTGCCCTTAGATTTGGCTTTGAAAAGAGAGCTACATGAGAAATCAAGGCCTAAACTTCATGAACCAGTTTTTTTTTTTTTTTTTTTTCAGCCATCAGATGGAATTCAACCTTAGGCATGGCTCAGATCAATTAACTTTGCTTTTGTAAAACCAACCAGCAGCTCTAAAAGACCGTCTGAGCCATCTGTGCATCCACTGCTGCTTCAGGCCTGGGAACACTCTTGTGCTTTGCTTCTGTGTTACCAAAGGGAGCTAGGGTGGCACTGGCACAGGGGGTGAGAAAGGTCAACACAGCCAAACGGATGGAGCTATAAGAGAAGCAGATGAAATGGTTCCTTCAAGGCTGGGGCTTTTTGCACATTAGGCAGGCTTTCCCACTGAGCGATGCCCACGGCCCTGAGGGACATCTTCTATCAGCATGTACTCCGTTTCTGAAATTCTGTGTTTAAAATGTTCTTTCCTCCTTTCATTCTTTTCAGACACCTAAGGAGCGGAGAGCCAGGCAGAAGTGGGATGAAGTTCACTGATGGCAAAGCACCATTAATCTCCCAAGCAGAGGGGCCTTGGCTTGTCGTCTTTCTTGGCCCATCTGAAACAGGTAGGTTGGGGAAGGGAAGATGTAGAGAGGAGAGGAATACAGAGGAAGGAGGAGATGCTGTATTAAGAAGAAATTTGAAGAAAATCTACCCTCTCTGACTTATCTGTGGGACTAGCATGCTCAAAGGAAAGTGAATGGGGGCTGGGGGTGGAGCTAGGTCCTAGCGTTGAGTAGGGACTTCTGTGTCTACAGAGACTTGGACAGTTACAGGATCAAGATAGGATGCTCTTTTGAGCTTCTGGGCCACCTAACTTGGAAGAAGAATGTCTGTGTTTGAATGCTGGGTCTCCAGTTTGTGGAACTGTTTAGGAAGGAGTAGGAAATGTGGCCTTGTTGGAGGAATGTGTCACTGGGGGAAGGGGTGAGGTTCCAAAAGACTCAGGTCATTCCTAGTGTCTCTTTCTGCCTCATGGTTGTGTCTCAAGCTGTGTGCCCTCAGCTTCTCCAGTGCCATGCTTGCACTAGGGAGCCGGACACCACGCTCCCTACCATCATGCCCATAGACTCCAACCCTCTGAAATCACAAGCCCTAAATAAACTCTTTCCTCTACAACTTGCCTCGGTTATGGTGTCTTGCCACAGCAATAGAAAAGTAACCGAGGCATCCCCCATCCAGGCAGTGGACAGCTGGCTGTGGGTACTCTGTGGTGGGACAGTCTGGGGTTCCCTTGCAGGCCTTGTGGGTATGTGATCATTCTGTGTGCACGGAGAACATTCTGCCTGCGCAGCTGTCGTCATTTCAGGCAGGGCCAGCGTCACTCGGCTGCTGCCTCATCATCTCGGGTCCTCCTTGGTGCTTTGCTAAACCTCTTTGTTGGTTGTGGAGTTCTTAAGCAAAATTTTAGCATTGGAAGTAGGTGGAAACTCAGTTTCCAAGATGCCTGAAATATCTTTACATTTATTATAATTGTGTGTGTTCAGGCACACTTATGCACGACGGTGTGTGTACAGAGGTCAGGGGACAATTCTGTGGAGTTGTGTTTTTGTTTTTGTTTTTTCATTCTGTTTTTATGTGGGTTGAAGGGCATGAACGCAGGTCACAAGCCTTGAACAGCAAACACTTTCACTCATCTCCATGGCTCAGGAAATGCCCTTTAATAATAATTTCAGCCTTTGTTCCTAAAACATTTGAGTTTTTCCAAAGATTTCTTTTTATTTTATGCGCCTGAGTGTTTGTCTGCATGTATGTGCACCACGCGCTTGCGGTGCTCATGGAGGCCAGGAGAGGGCACTGGATTCCCTGACACTGGAGTCCTGCATCTTCCGGGTACTATGCAGCCATTACAGTGTGACCCCACAGCATCTGTGGATGCCCATCCCGGGTCTGCATGAGAATGAAGCTAGTCAGGCATGGTGGAGGAGAGGCTCAGGGCTCTGTCACTGCTGAACTAGTCGGCACTGGTAGATCCAGGGAGAGACCCCCAGGCTCCAAGGAGCGGGATTGTCCTAGTCAAATTACCTGGGTTAGAAAACAAAACCAAAACTCATGAGTCAGAGAAAAGGGCTGGTGGGGAGGAAGGGAGTTGGTAGGAATTGGAGGGAGATTAAAAAGTTGAAAGATGGCTAAGAAGGAACCTAGACGCTTGCACACAGAATAGTGAAAGCTCAGTGGATTGGCCTCCACCCAGTCACCGTGCACGGTCCTGCAAAGCTTCTCTCTGAGGAAACTGATCTCAGAAGAACAGCCACCGTCAATCCTGACGCTGATGGCTGGCTCGTGAGGCCCTTTGCACAGTGAGCCCTACCAGTGTACAAGTGCGGTTAGCAGCTGTGGTGTGTGACTCCGAGATGTCACAGTCGGTCTCCTGGGAGGCAGTGGAAGCTTTAGGAAGTAAGACATGGCGGGCACGAGTAGGCCACTAGGGGTGAGGGTGGTAGCCCTGGGTTTTGCTGTGCTGTCTGCGTCTTGTTCTGCCGTGAGGTGAACAGCGTCTGCCCCAGGCTCCTGCAATCCATGAACTAGCTGCTCCACCATACCTGCCCAGTGGTAATGGACTGAGACTCTCTGAAACCGTGAGCCAAAATAAGTATTCCCTTCCTAAGCCATTTCTGCAAACTGTTTTTATCAGAGTAAAGCAAAAGTAGCTCACTGTGAAGAGTTTTGCTTTCATATTTGACCCGGCAGCCCTGGTGGTCACACATAGTTAAGTTCATAGCAGGAATGATATAGACAGAAAAAGGGAGCTAGAAGTTGCTATGTGGTTTGTTTTGTTTTTCTTTTAAAGGAGGGGCAAAGTGCACTTGCATATTAAAACTAAGATAAAGGGCTGAGACGCAGCTCAGTAGGCAGAGCACTCACCTAGCACAAAGCCCTGGCTCAGTCCTCAGCGTGAGCTGGGGTGGTGGGGCATGTTTGTCATCCCAGCACTTGGGAGGCAGGAGAAGCAGAAGTTCAAGGTCATTCTTAGCTAAATAGTGAGTTCAGGGTTACCTTGAGATTCTGTCTCAAACAAACAAACCCCTATGGCATCAGAAATAATGTTTTTAAAAAAATAATATTACTTTTTTTTTAAGACAGGGCTCTCTGTGTAGCCCCGGTTGCCCTAGAACTCTCTGTGTGGTCTAAGCTGGTCAAACTCACAGAGATTCACCTTCCTCTGCCTTCTAAATGCTGGCATTAAAGGTGTGAGCCACAACCGGCCGGCTTCATTACTTTTACATTTTGAGCAGGTGAGCTCATGCATGTGCATGCGTGTGTGTGTGTGTGTGTGTGTGTGTGTGTGTGTGTGTGTGTGTGTGT